TAATTATTCAGCTGAAAGTAGAAATGTAGTTAAAAATATTTTATAAGGACACAGCAGGACTTCATCATTTGCTTTTTCCTCTAGAAGGCTCATTCCATGACCTTTCCTCCACATGTGCTTTTTTTCTTGGATGGAATGGCTTTTTCAGACAGAAGGATTCTTACAGTAAAGGTTAGTGTCTCTCACCTTCCTCAGATAGAGATATCTTTTCAGGATGGGCTTCTAGTATATAAAGTTGTTTTCTGTGTTGTTACCCTTGCTTCTTTCCTTCTCTTTCCGAAATGTCCAAATTAACTAAAAAATTTACCTAAGTAGCAACTGTATGTCACCATTTTCTCACAATATCTACTGCGCCTTTTTACTGCAATGTTGTAACTCTTGTGGACTGCCAACGAACTTGTAATGCCAGCTTAAGTCAAAGCAGGCTGAGATACTGCATCCCTAGCAATGAGGTCCTCAGGGACTCACTTTGAAATTAAACTAAAGTTAATTTCAATATGGAATCATTTTATTGTGTGGGTGCATCTGCACATAAACTTTAAATTGGGTTCTGAACAGCATATAAAGGCTTGCAAGAGATAAATTAGACTGAGTATAGCACTCATCATTAATCAGAATACTAAACAAGCATGAGAGCTAGAGAATGAAACAGCTGCCCCTTCATTTATCTTGCTGTCAGAAGGTAACTCTCCTACAGAGAGAAGCTCAGAAGTGGTGGCTTAGAGTCTTTTGTGTCTCTCAGCTTGCAGATTATATATCTGCTCATATATAATAAACACATATCTACGTTTGTACATACACAGACAAATATAACATACATATACCAGTACCATTTTTGTGCTGGTGTGTGTATACTGATGTATGTGTCCTCAATAGTCCTAGATTGTAGTTTTGAGCTGAAAAGTGAGAGGTTTGCCTGTTTATTTCAAAAGAAAAATGTTTACTACTTATCTCTGTTCACAATGAGTATTCTGACTCAATAACAGAAATTTTGACTACAGTCTTACTGTAGGGTTGTCCTCTGTGATAAATATCATCAATTCATCCCACGTGAACATATAGTATAGGTGTAACTGATATGGTAAGTCGGAAAGTATTTGCTTTCATTTCAGAGTGAATATGTGATGCTGAAAGGTAATAAAACCTATTTTCTTATTTTCTTTGGGGAAAAAACAGGGATAAACAAAGCACAAGTTACTGGAAATCTCCAAGTGTTATTTTTACAGTAACTAACTTCTCTGTGTCAAAGGATATTTTGAAGACAAGCTAACTGATGGCTAATTAGATACTAAGTTTATAGGGCAACAGACTCCGGTGGCTGGTCTTCCTTAGTCTGACCTCTTGCATGAAAGCAATAAATCAGAGAGCCTTCCATGTCTCTCATATTGTCCCGAGCTCTTGGGAAAAGGGTGATTGAATAGGCAGAATTCGTGCTGCTGCAAGTGCTGCTGCATAAGATTTAGCATAATGGATAAATTAATGGATCATTAACCTTTTAAGTCTGGTATCCTGGCTTCTGCACTGGCCTACCGTGGCTGCTTCAAGTAAGCAAACATCTCCATACATAGCAGGGATGGATTGTGCAGGGGAGGGGAAAGATTTCCTGGACTGGAGTCATGAGAGCAGGTTGTCTGGGAGGCCGAGCAGCCCTGCAGCCACAGTGGGACAGCAGTATAACCTACACAGGCCTCAGCAACATAGACAGGGACATGACAGGTATCTGTCCTCAGTGCAGTGGCTTGGTCCACACCGCATGACCAGAGCTATGCACTCGTAGTGGACAGAATGATGTTATCCCATGGTGGCACCTAGACCTATATCTGAGGTATCTGAGGTATCTGTTACCCCGCTAACAGCATCCAAAATAGCCTGCACTCGTTTTGACTGCAGTGTTGACTGCAGTCTTCAGTTTATTCAAACAAGGATATGTGCTTTAGGTGTGCAATTTGCTGTACCTCAGCCAAGGACTTGCAGGACAAAAATACATCATCACCTAAAAGGACAGAGGTATTAATATGCAGAACTCTGGTAACTGTTAATGTTAGATACTCAGGTTACCATGTCCTTCAGTATCCAAGTACAGGTAGATAAGACACATGTTATAGGGAAACATGAAGTCTCTTTTGCAGTGGCTGCTGGAGGCCAGGCAGGATACCCTCATTATCTAAAATGTACTTGCTGCCCTGATTTAGGTAACTACATCCTGCCCTAGATGTATGTTTTCAGTGGAACCCTACTAAAATTGGAGTTAAATGTTGGAATTAAATGAAACTTCTAGTATCATGTGTGATGTTTGGTCTGAAAGACACTGCTCAAAGGTACAACTTCAATTCCATTTGATTTGAACTTACCTCATAGGATGTGTTTCAACACTTGAAAACATGTCAGAGGACTCAGCTTGACAGGGCTTCTTGCAAGAGAAAATAGCTAGATGTAGACAAAGCTAAATGGGTGACACATAATCAGATCAGTCCCAAAAATACCCACTTTTATGCAAAACTTTAAGGCTCCAAGTGTTGTGTCCATTGGCATTGTTTCAGGTTCTTCCTTTGATTGCTTGAGGGCTATATTCAATGTAAGTCATCTTTTGTAGAATCACAGAATGGTTTGGGTTGGAAGTTAAGCATACAGGCTATATAAGTATACACATACATACACCTATATGTAGATGTGTGGGACACCTGCCACTAGCCCACGTTGCTCAAAGCCTCATCCAGCCTGGCCTTGAACCCCTCCAGGGATGGGGCATCCACAACTACTCCCCTAGTGCAGACATGAAGGAGTATGCCGAATGAACACAGGTCTGGATGACAGTGGTGATGGCATAGACCTATGGTGTAGGTAAGCAAACTGGATGTGTTTGGTTCCAGTTGACTACAAGGAATCTAAGGTCCTCAAAAACACTAATATTACATATATGGAAAAATACCATTGCTCATATGAAGGCTGTAAGTATATGTCAAAATCTAAATCTAATTAAAATGTTCAATACTAAGAGTATGTGTTGTCTTTTTTTAAACTGTGAAACATATCACATTTTGTCTCTGAGCATCTCTTCACAAAATACCTGGGATTTATGAGCAGAGGCTTATACATACATATAAGTTGTTTCTCATTCTTCCCTGAAGTAAATGACAGGTGGGTTCTGAATACAAACCTGCAGTCCTGTGATTGTGCTTTTTTGCGTGTCACAGAATATCCAGTTAATTGAAGCAACTACTGATACATCTTTAAAATAAAACTTTGTGCATGCAAATTTGCAAACCTGTTATGAACTTCTATTTATATTTAGTTGTGAGCAGAGTACCTCTTGACCATATTCTGTCAGAAGTTTACATGTTACAGATCTTCTGTGGTTTAATGCAATAGTTTGTCCTGACTTTCTTATGCACACAGTCATTATAATCAGTGTTACATTTACCACACTTGCAGCTCACAGCCACAGGGTAGGAATAATAAGGGATGGTGTGATGAGGACAGCCCGGAATCAGTGCTGTTTGATACAACATCTCTTTATATGTGCACACATTCTGGGACAGAGCACTTTTGAGTAGCAGCTTCTTGCCATTGCTGTCCTACAAAGAAAAAATAAATGCACTATTTCACTGAAGCACAGATGAGTGTCAGAAGACTTCCTTTGACGTTTTGTCAAATGTGCAGAAAGCAACTGACTGTGATATTTTCAGCATACTTCTGTTCAGATCTATAGTTTTGAATCTGCGTATGACTTGGGCCCTCCGCCCCTGTAAATGTGTTCACCTTGCTGTTATGGTTTTAGCTGATCCGCTTGGTGCAGAGTGTTAATGGAGCTTTGTAATCTGTATTGGCCACCAACTGACCAAGGTGGAACTTAAAACACTGCATTGAACAGGGAAGCTCCAGCACAGCGTTTGGCATGCCTACATGTGAGATGTTCTTCACAGCCAGCTGTCAGAGCAGCAGTGGGAGAAGAAGTTACCCAAGTATTTTACATTAAATCAGTGACTACATATAATCTGCTTCTCACCTGTTCCATCCTGACCCCACAAGCTGACTACAGAGGCACCGCAGTGACACCAGCAGTCAGTTCTCTGCTATGCCACTGACATTAAAAGCTCCGTAGTTCCGGAGGCCTGGCATTTCTCATCCATACCTTTGCAAAAAGCTAACTTGAAGACATGGTGATAGCGTGATTTTTCTGTCTGTGACAGACACTATTAGAATTGGATCATTTACACACAATTTTCCAGTGAGAATAGACACTTGTTTTGCAGTGATGGCTGTTATAGAAACAACGGCCTAAAAGAGAAACATCTTGTACCTGAGTCATGCAAAATGCAGTGCAGATGGTGGTGTTGATGGCCAGGCAGTAGGCACATTCCCTTTCTCCACATGGATTATGTACTCAGAAGTAGCACAAAGTGACGCTGCTTGACCAAAAGCCAGGCCAAAGAGGAGAGACATTACAAAGAAGGGGCTCATGCTAGATGGGGGAAAAAAAAACCCAAACAAACAAGGTAAATCCTGATGAAAATTAGATGTACCTTCCAGCCCTTTTCTCAGGATTTGACAAGAACAGTTATGATAGAACTAATCTTAACTTTTTTAGCTACAGCCTGACAAATTCTTTCCAATCTCAGACCTGTAATTGAAATAGTACTAACCACAAAACAGAAAAGAAGGGTGAACTGGCCATTAACAATATATAACAAATTCATGTTTTCCCCACTAAAGCATTATTACATGGAACTTTTCACTACTGATAAAAAGCTGACACAGAAAAATAGCAGGAGCTAAAGGACTTGAAAATGTGACATATGCGAGAGAATATGAGCTCTAAAATTAACCAAAGATACTAAAATAATCCCAGTGGTTTAAAAATAATTTTTAAAATAAAGAATCTTAGAAAATGTTCAAGAGAGAAAAAGAAACAGTTGTGCCTAACAGGCATACCACTGTATTTTTCACTTCCAGTTGGCTTAGAGGCATGATGAAGTAGGAACACTGCCAAGAGTTAAATAATAGATTCAAGCAATTTACAATAAAACATCAGCAATAAGTTCAAATCAATTGAATCCCCACTTTATCTGTCTGTTGTGCTGACCTCATTTCTTTGATCCCTAAAACAAAGTTTTGATTAGCTCCGAGACAACTCCAGGGTCTACTCTATAGCCTCTAAACTACAAACTTCAAATGACAGTGTCTACAAACATAAGGACATCACCCTCTAGTCTCTTCCAGCTGTCAGTTTCCCGTAGCAAAAGCCATTCATTACAGTCTGGTTTACCCTGTAGCTGCAAGTCTGGAAAGACCAACCTCTTGTCAGCTGAATTCTTCCCTCTTACAGGAACCTGGTTCTGCCTTGAGCTGGGGGAGGCAGTGACCCAGCACAAGCTCTCTGTGTGCTTAATACTCTCCAGGCTAATTCCAGGCTGATCTTACTGTTTATGTAATTGCATCTGAATTGCTGCTTTCTTATTGCAAAGTCATCTATTGAAAATTCATACTGAACCACAAAGCAAATGTGATAGGAACAAATGTGTCCATAATATCCTAACCTGGAAACTGGAGCTGGGAATCTAATTATTTTAACAGCCATTCTCTTCTCAGGCTTTTAAACTAACCACTGCTTTAAAAAACTTATTATTGATGAATATCAGTGCACAGGACAGCAACATCATGACAGGAAGGCTAGCATGGAAATGGAGTCATCCGGAATCACATATGACTAATTCTATACCTATGTTTTGCGGAAGTTTAATGAAGTCTGGGTCACTCAGTTTGCCTGTTACCAGGCAGGCACAGCTGAGATGCATGGCTATACACCAAAAGTAACAAATCCCAAATCAGAGCAATTACTCTGCAGGGTAGTTAGGTACAGCCTGACCTACCTACTCAAACAAAACACACTGAGAAGTTACCTGGCCTTGAATCTACTGAGCAAATACTGAAGTAACAAGCAATTCACTCTGAAATATTAATTGATAGGGGAAAAACTTTTAAGAAACCACTCCTTGGAGCACAGCGACAAGTAAAATATTGCACCAACACCATTGAAACCGAGATGTCCACAGATGAGGGAAAAACACCCGTGTTTTGGGCTTTGTGGAACACCTGGGCGGAGCAAACGTAAGAAGAGGTTGAGTGAGCATGCACGTCTCATCTCGCACTGATTCAGCACAAAGCTGCTGTCCTCTGCTGCCACAACAGCATTTGGCCAGCCTTCCCACTGTGCTCACTGACTGCAGCTCTGTTAACATCTGTCCTGTCAATTAATCCCCTAGCTGCCATTTGGACTGTGATCTGGTGTTTGTCTTATACGGGTCAACCACATTCTTGATTTACATAGCCGTAAGAAATACGATAAAGCTGAGTTTGAGTTGGTAAACACGGTCACTTTGGGCTGTTTGAGGAGTGATCCAGTCGGTCCCGATTGGTGTTTAGCTAATTCCTGAATAATATTGCCTCCTTTTCCTGTGGTTTTGGAGAGCTGCACACAGCTTTGTGTCCTGCACTAATTCTCCAAGGTTTTTTTTTTAATAACATGATAGAGTTCTTGTTCTACTAAGACTAGCGAAATGCTTTCTGTTTTCATGGAGTCTTTCATTATGCATTAATTTCAACCATATAACTTCTCAGGAATTAAATATAACTCTGTCTGGCTTAAGGATATGAGCAGAGCATTAATTGTACTCTCAGTAACATCTGTCCATCTCCACTTAGCAACAGAAGTGTAACTCTGTTATTTTGCTACTACTCCAATATATTATTTAACCCTATATTTTTCTGACATATTTTAAATGCAGTTAAGCATACAGGCTATATAAGTATACACATACATATAAGTATACACATACATACACCCATATGTAGATGCATGTGTGTGTATAGATACACATATATACACATTTATGCTACGTATATATGTATGGGTTTGGTAACAATTCATTAAAATAAATTCTGGGGAAGACAGAAAGTGCCCAAAATAAGAATGAAAGATGTCATTCCTCAAGCAAGAATATTGCATGTGACCCTTACGTGCACAGCTGAAGTAGGTACAGCTGATTCTTTCTCTAAAGATTTCACAGTGATTTCCAAACACATCTTTAGGCAATTGGAGCTGTATTTGTATA